TTGATCGCAAAAGACTGAGGCGCTTTCTTTATAGACGACACAGACGTCAAGTGGCCCAAAACGTATCTCGAGCCCGGATCAGGGTTGGAGGCGAGTTGGCAACTGTCAAATCTACAGTACGGTGGCTAGGGATACTCCTAGATAGCCAACTTACATGGAAGAGCCACTACAACGCTCGAATTAAGACAGCAAGAAATACGATAATCAGGTTAAACTCACTCTGCAGAGCTAATGGGTTACCCCCAGCATTAGTGAGGCGCATACAGAAGGCTACAGTGCAAGCCCAATTGCTATGGGGTGCCGAGATATGGTGGCAAGGCCAGAAAACATGGGCACAAAGGATCCAGATTCTAATCAATAAGCAAGCCAGAGGTATTACGGGCATGTTCCCAAAAACCCCAATTGGAGCCCTAATCAGAGAGGCAGCGTTAGAGCCAGCGACAGTCTTAATGGACGCTAGAGTAGCTCGATACACAGCGAGGCTACTAGCTCTGCCTGACACGCATCCTACAGCGCAGATACTTCCAGTCACCCTCAGACATGGTGACCTTCACGCACAACCTGGAGAGCAACCACTGGACGACCGGGAATGGGCCTCTAGAGACAACAAGGTGCTAAATCGACTCGGCCAAAGGCTTGCAAAGCACCTTGCTCAACGGTTGAACAGAGACCCCTCTGGAGGAATTGAGAGAACTGAACAATGCGAGCTCCAAGGCTTCCCAGGCTCGATCCGAGTACTTGACAAGGAAGAGGCCCTAACAGAGGCTAATCAACAGCGTGCTGGAACAACGTTTTGGTCAGACGGCTCTAGACTCGATACAGGACGTGCAGGAGCCGGTGTCACTTTACAGGCTGTACCTGGAGGCCCCTGGGAACACGTAGAGGTGCCAATGGGCCACGGACACGAGGTCTTTGACGCAGAACTAGTGGGAGTAGCCACAGCCCTTGAATGGGCACTGGAGAGGCAACCTCTTGGTCCTATCTGGGTGTTACTTGACGCACAGAATGCTATTGATCGCCTCAGATCGACAAGGCCAGGCCCTGGGCAAGCCCTTGTTCTTAGGGCTCACAAGGCAGCTGAGAAACTAGCCTTGAGAGGCCAGCCAGTCACAATACAATGGGTCCCAGGCCACTCAGGGATTGAAGGGAATGAGCAGGCTGATCAAGCTGCTAAACGTGCAGCTAGTAAACAAACCGCGCCTGGTTTTGAGCACCTATCTTTAGCGCACGTTAGAAGGGCTTGCACGGAAGCAAGGAGAGCTGCAGTATCTGAATGGGCTCAAATCAATGCTGTACAAGGCAGGCATAGAGACGGACGTGCCTACAAGATGCCTCGAGGTTGGAACCTTGACCCAGTGGCAGGAAAAGCTCCAAAAAGAGTGGCTAGTCGTTACTACCAGTTAAAGACAGGACATGCTCCAATTGGCACCTATCTATACCGGATAGGCCAACGGGAATCGCCTGAGTGTCAGGCCTGCAAGGAACCTCATGAGACAGTAAGGCATGTACTCTTTGAGTGCCGTGGACGTCGTGCAGGACGAAGAACTCTCTATCAAGCCCTCAAAAAAGCAGGCGTGCCACTGCCTACAGCGGCTGAGGAAGACCCCGAGGCTAGGCTATTTGCTGAGCCTAGAGCGACGCAGGGTTTGCTGCAATTCGTGGCTGAAGCCAACCTATTCAATGATAAGGAGCGGACAGCTAGAGAGGCTGAGTCTAGTGATGCGTGGGGGTGGGATACGTTGGAGGAAGGTGGCCTAGGTGTCACATTGGAGGATGAATAGGGGTGAGGGCACGCTAGTCAGAGTTTGTACTGATTAGGTGTGCCCACGGGTTTGGAACTATAAGGGATCTCCGGAAGGATTAGCCTAGGGAGAGTGCCCAAAGGTCCCTGGCATATCGGCCACATGGGGACGAGATAGTGATTTATTTTTGGATTTTTGTATGTATGATTCTGATAGGGGTGAGGCCTGTAGGGTCTCACCAAGGCTTCCAGAGGTCTGTCATAGCCAATAGGGCTGGGTACGGACAATAAACTTGAATAATAATAATAATAATAATAATAATAATAGAAAGTTAGCTGCAGCTCTATTTATGGATATTGAGGGGGCCTTTGACCATGTCATCCTAGCAAAACTGGTAGAGGTGCTCAGAGAGGCTAGCGTGGATGGAGATCTTATACATTGGGTGACCTCATTTCTATCTGACCGGCGAGTCACTCTTGTGATTGATGGACACGTGGGAAAGGAAGTACCGATAAGCTCTGGGTTACCTCAGGGCTCTCCGGTGTCACCCATTCTCTTTGTTCTATACGTTCATGGGCTATCAAGAGCCATTGAGAGGAGTGTGCCGGAGGTTCAATGTCTATCCTTTGTGGACGACCAAGGCCTAATAACAGCCGCAAGCTCAGTGAAGGAGGCTTGTAGGATCCTTGAGAAAGCAGCCGAAGTAGCCATCGAGTGGGGGGTGGCCAACGGGGTACAATTTGATCGCAAAAAGACTGAAGCCGCTTTCTTTATAGACGACACAGACGTCAAGTGGCTCAAA